ATGGGCTTGCCACACGCATTGCAGGAATGTTTAGTTTTTTGTCCTTCTAATATGGGTAATCCGGGCATCTGACATATCGTCTGGGTGCAATTGTAGGTCTAGGTGAGGGTTCACCGAGCTGCAAGCTTGTTGAATCATCACCTTCTTACTCCGTATCAGAATTCACTTCATGTTCACTACAATGATCAGAGTCTTGTTCTGAACTGGATTCTCCAGAAGAATCAGTTGCTGCCTCTTCCAACATAGCACGAATCTGTTCCTCTTGACTTTCAATATCCATTTTAGTCAAAAACTAAAAAAATAAAATAAAGGAAATGTTCAATAAATGAACGAATAACAAATTCATATAGTAAAATAATAAAGAAATAACAAAAATCTAAAAACAACAAACAAAAAGCAACAAAATCTGAAATTAATTGAAAAAAAAAACTAATAAAACAGTTAAAATTCATTCATAAATCATTACGTAAAATAAATATGTCAAAAATGAGGCAGGGTAAAACATACCCGAGACAAGTTTGTGCACGTATAACTTCGCCGATGCCTCGCGCCACACTGCAATCACGCCACTACCCGGTCCCGCACGCCCCTACCTTCAGCTACTAACCGATCTAGTGTCGCCAGACGAGGATTTTAAAATGTACAGCACTTTTAAATTTTAACAGGGTATGAGATACCCTGGATCATGCTCGCCGGGTTAAGTTAATAATACCAATCTACCTCGAATTATTCCAGATAAGAGTAGAAAGATCTAGTAATTTTATGTTCCACTATAAACGCTATCTACAGGTTATAGAAGTATTCCAATATTATTTCTCAAAATTCCATTTTATCTCGGTTGTTCAATGAAAATCAGTACCGTAGATAACGGCGCGATAGGTAAGGTAAAGTAGTTCGTAATGTTGGGTCTTGTTGAAAGGTTTACGTGCGAATCTTTAGCGCACGATATTCGAAACTATCTAACCGTATTTTATTACAAATCTGTCCTCAAAATCTTAAGCATTAAGGTTTTATTATTTTGTTTAAGTTTTACGTATTGTTTTATTGAAGCAGAATAAATAAGGCTGCTACTTCTTTAAATATCACTTCAAAGCACTGTCTATTGAGCTAATTGTTACATATCCGTAGTTTCAAGATCTGCCAAGTTAGAAGTGCAAGTTACAATGGAAGTTTTACTTCGAGAGATCATTAAACGACAATGAAGAACGAGACAGTAAAAGAGGCGTCGCCTTGTAAAGACCGACTTCAACAATTGAGACTAAAAGTTTTCTAACAATTTAATTTAGTTCGGGATTAAAGCAGCGTTTTGTTAAGCGGCGACTTTTAAGGCTCGGTTCCACGTCACAAACACTGGTCTCCTAACATTGTATGCAGCGATCGAATTCGTTTAACACGTGACTGGACACACCGGCGGTAGTTTAATAGCCTCGTATATGTAAAGGACAGGCGCGGTCTACGTCCAACCAATTTGCAATAAAACAATATGGCGCGCCAGCACACCCCGGCTTGTGGCCGAGCATTCTGCCAGCCCCTTGTTGTATTTTATATTTATCCCACTACGGACCCATTAGTCGCCTACTTTTACGTCACATTACCGATGTTACATTATCTCTTCGAGCGAAATTAATCCGAGAAGACTGTAACGTCTCTTTGAATCCATTTCTTCTTTGCCCACCTTTTTGATACTTTTTGCGACGTACTCGTTACAAGTCCGAAGTAAGAAAGCAAGATAAACTAATTAACATGCAACGGAGGGAAATCGGATTAAAATAACTTTTAATGAACCTCTATCCTTTAATATTCATGAAAACGTAGGTACCTACTTAATAAATGACGTCTCAGTAGCGTATTAATTAATACTTTCTCGCCTTTTGTATATTTAAATAACTTAAAATAATCTCCAATAGGTATCGTAAAAAGCAGAATCTTATTGCTCGTTAAGATTTTAGTGCTTATAATATTAAATGTAAGCTAGAGATTTGCGATATCAACGACCTGTTTACTCTTGAACATTATCATGTTTCTTATTATGTTTAAATTTCTATTTTCTCATGCCTTGTGCTTGCTTGAGAGAGAATTTTGTAAAACGGTTTTAAGTTAGAGCATTTTTTTAACAGCCTAATGTATTTAAAGGGCGTAGGTAAGTGTAATTGATTGAAATCATTGAATGAACATAAACAAAATATGTTTATTAAATGGAAGTTTCTTTCTTTATTATCACCTATCTCTTAATTAAATAAATAGGCATGAACATCATGACCAAAGACTTAAAGTAGGAAGGAAAACAGGAAAAAATAAAGCACTTGTGAAACAGTCTTAGCTATTTTAATACCTTTGCCCGACACAATTGCTTGTTATTGTGAACCTTGTTGTGTTTTATCGTAGGATATCGGGGACAGTTTCAAGGATAGGCTGAGGACTCTTATCTAAGACTTGAACACCGAAAATTCTGTTACGACGTCGTCATGTTTGCCGAGCAATCCCTTTGAAATCCAATTTCCCGAGTATATTTGTACTGTCACGGCACTCGTAGCTTTTTGATACATTAAGTGCTCTTTTATTTTTAATTTGTGAACTTCCTAAATTGAGTACGTAAGCAGTTTTATGGGTGATTTATAAAAAACCGTTTCTAAATATTACTGAACTGTTGAACAAAGCCGTGTAAAATCAATAAAAGCAAAGTAAACCCCTATAACTGCCGCTTTCCGTTTTGAATTGGATTTCAAAGTAGCAGTACATTTTTGTGGACACCAAAGCGAATGTGACGGTTGAAGTACATAAAAATAAAAGCGATGGGTTTTTCGTCCTCTGTGAAGCGATCCAATGTTCAGGGTCTGTGTAAATAAGGATTTCTTTTATTGCGTGTACTTCAAGATTACTGCTCTTTGGGTTTAGTACAAATAATTAAAACAATTGTTCTTACTTTATTCAAATCATGTACCTAATTTTGTATTGAGCTTGACAAGTATTGGTTACGAATTTTATTCGTAAGAAAATACCTACTATTTTGTTATTATTCATCTCAATCCACAAAACATAATATTTCAAGATCTGATATCTTATTTGCTAGAAAATTGTAACTCTATTTATTTATACAACATATTATATTTCTTTGTAAATGTAATAACATTTGTCACAATATGTCAGACTGCTTAATTTTATTGAGTAGGATTTCTAACCGTGATTTATTTTCGTCTGATCTTTAGCATGATATATTATTCTAATTTCTAATATAACGTAATATAATATTGGAAAAATAGTAGGTGGCAAATATTTATAACTCTCTGTGTTTGATAAGTCGAGCAAACTTAAGATTATACCATTTTTAGATTAGGTACGTACAGGTGCTAAAACCAATTGAATAAGAATAACATTATCAGGTGTAGTATTCACATTTGCCTTACCTCACAAGGAAAATTCGACATAATACTATGACAATCCACGTTTTTAATGTCAGTTATAAAGAAATTATTTATGTAACTTTGACAAAATATTTAAATTCTAGCTTCGCAATGCAGACTACCGTAGATGTGCTTTGCATATGAATATAAGCAAAGTTTGGTTTTAACATTTTCACCGGGTAGAAACTCGATACACTTCTTGATGTCTGTGAGTAATAAAATTCTTTATATAGCGCTGTTTGTACGGAAAATTCTTGAATTTACACTCTGAAATAAGAGACTCAGGAAAAAGCTGTAGAAATAAGATACCAACATGATTATGTAGTTACTATTTACATTATGATACTTATGTAAATATTCGATCAGGAAACACAGATTTTTTTTATTGGTGGTAATTTATCGAATGACTTTTCCCGCCTGTATGAGGCGGAAGGGAGTGTCAGACTCTTTCTGACTAAAAACCACCATGTTCCTTCTCTGAGCCGGAGCCCCGGTAACCCGTTAGGTTCTCCGCGACTCCGAATCGGCATCAGCCCTATTGGGCTCCATCGGTGGTGAACAAAACACAGATTTAAAAGCATCTCTGGCATTTGAATTCTAAATCCAAACGTACATATTTTTGAGGTTTATTTTTAATTTTTTTAATAGTTGCAAATATACAGCGTGTGAATTTTTGTGTGCTTACACCGGTAATGTTTTGACATACCTATTATACGAGTCTGTAAATAAATACTTTTTAGTATCTTAGGTTATATATTATAATTCCACAGATAATTAAACATACATAGTGTTCAGTGCTATATTAACCTTGTTGCGGTTTGGTAATGGCTCGGTTTTACAAATTACGTTATTTGGTTTTGTAAACAAAATGGTTGCATAGTTCGGCAGTTATGAGCGGTTAAACGCTTCTAATGGATGTTCACTGCAATGGGATTTTGTCATGAACACGCCGTATTTACGGATAAAATACAGTTCATTCGCGTTAAATATAAATTAGTGACCTGATTTCGGTTTCACACGTGGACAATTATTATAAAAGACAATTTTTCATTGTGTTTTCAATATTTTAGCGTATATTCTATTGTTTTGCAGATACAATTTATTGGTAGTCGAATAATAATTACATGCGTAACTTTTATTACGCACTATACAATTTATTCAAAGATAGTCTTTTTTGTTTCATGACCATACTTTAATTCCTTTTTAATTTTTACTATGGTTTTCCTTTTATTTGTTATAAGTACTGCCTCGTTGGCCGAGTAGTCGCAAGTGCGACGGCCGGGAAAGGGGTCTCGGGTTCGATTCCGGGGTCGGGCAAAGTACTACTGGGTTAATAAAAAAAACTCAGTGGTGTGGACTCTGGAATTGTGCCCGGTATAGGTATGGCAAAAGGCTCACTCCCTATTACATGATACTCATAACATAAATAGTGAAAAGTGGATGTTAAATGGTACATTGGCATTAAGTGCCGTAATGTGCACCTCTACCTATCCCTTCGGGGATAAAAGGCGTGATGTTATGTTATGTGGTTATAAGTACCTAATATTATCGATTTATTACCAACTACACAATACTAAATGCCATTTTAATTTGTTACAGATTTACATTATCAGCCGCGGCCTCCAGCTCCTGAAGGTTAGTAAGAAGTTTATTTAATTAAAAAGTTTTTATATTATCTGTGGAGCAGCTAGACTGCACGTAGCCATTTGACCTTCACCGCGCTACTTCTTAGGCAATACGTATATTTAGTTGTGAATCTCAATTTCGTAACATAAGTAAATAAACATAGGTTGCGTGATTAGCTTCGAAAATAAATAAATGAAACGTAATATTTATATTATTATATTGTCTGTTTATCAATGTTTAAGTAAACAGTAAGCACTTATTGAATATACCTACCTCCATGCGGTTTCACCTATTGATCGTGGAATGATGTTTTATATTAACTAGCTTCTGCCCGCGACTTCGTACGCGTAATCCTTTTTTCCCCCGTTTCCGTTCGTGATTTTCGGTAAAAAGTAAAGAAAAGTATCCTATGTCCGTCTCCTGGTTCTAGGCTACCTCCCTGCCGATTTCCATCGAAATCGATTGAGGCGTTCTTGAGTTATAAATAGTGTAACTAACACGACTTTCTTTTATATATATATATAAGACTAGCGTCTGCCCGCGACTTCGTATGCGTAATCCCATTTTTTCCCGTCCCCGTTCGTGATTTTCGGTAAAAAGTAAAAAAAAATGGTTAAAAAGTATCCTATGTCGGTCACCTGGCTCTAAGCTACCTCCCTACCAATTTTCAGTCAAATCTATTCTGCCGTTCTTGAGTTATAAGTGGTGTAACTAACACGACTTTCTTTTATATATATATATAGATATACTAAAACCTTCTAAGTGTAACGATGCCGAATGCATGCATTCGTCAAAAAAAGATAGGCGTTTTTAACGTTGTTGCTTCATAGGCAGATCATTGTTTCTGAGCAAGCATTTGTCATGTGAAGGATGCATGCAGTCGTAAAATGATGCACAGTTATCCTTACTCAAGAGCAGCGTGCACAGCCACAACACCACGTTATTTTCAATTAACCTCTGTTATGTCGGAACTTAGATCTACGCGAGACACAGTACATTTTCTATTGTGTCTCATATATCATATATCGACAAACAAAAGGTTAAGCATGTCTCACGTTAGTAATTATACAAAAACACATAAGTTTGTTGTACAAATCATTTCAAATACAATTTGTAGAACTTCACAAACACACATCAGAGATGTGCACGGTTGACTTAGCATAACCCAGCCCCGTACTCACATCATACGTACATGTGTTACGTGTGTTAGGGGATTACTCCATCATTGTTCGTATTCCCACTATTACATATAGTTATGTACAATAGTTTATTTAAAGGTATTTATTTATCAAACTACTGAACTCTGCACAGCTACACAGCTAAACTGTGGAATGATCTGCCGTCGACGGTATTTCCGAACCGATACGACCTTTAAACCTTCAAGAAAAGAGCGTATTCCTTTTTAAAAGGCCGGCAACGCATCTGTGACTCCTCTTGTGTTGCGGGTGTCCATGGGCGGCGTTGATCGCTTACCATCAGGTGATTCGTCTGCTCCTTTGCCTACCACGATTTAAAATAGACAGTGTTTAATATAAGTAAAAGAGTTTCACATTTAAATCCTAAGTCGGTAGTAGGAACACCTACTTACATATATGTTATTTGCTTACTGTAAAATACATAAAGATAAATAATTACCAGATTTAATTTAAAACCTAATTCTATTTATTTACAAGATCACAATCAGATTCTATATATGTTAGCTAAGTTACTGCTTAGGTGCTGTGGCGTTGTTGTTGAGAAATACCTAAATATAGAATCCGAGTATTTATAACTTAAGATTTAGGTACGATGACTACAATGCAAGCACAAGCAATCAAGCGATTCTGTTAATAAAATAAAGCATAACTTTACTTTTCACGCCACAGACTCAAGGTAAAGAAAACACCTGAATACAAAAAATACCTCCAAATGTTTATATCACATTGTTCAAAATATTTACATACCGGTAGGTAGTATCGTATGTACCTAACATCACTATGCAAATAGAATATATTTATGTAACTGTCGAAAATAAATAAAAACGTATTGGAAAAGCATAGAGAACGAACGAACTTTTACATTTAAATAAAGAATAGAGTTTCGACGCCATACTTGTTTAACGTTCCATTTATTATATTCATTCGTAATTTAATTTTAGAACTAAACTTTAGTGTGCTGTGAATTTGGCATCAGATGGACAAATTGTAATATAAAACAATTGCTGCAATGCATAATATGATATTAATTTCATATTTTAATTAAACTTAGAATTTATAGTGTGTTAAAATGTGGATGTGATTTATATTATTATGAATGAATTAGTTAATGGACTGTCCGTAAAATAACATAGGTAGGTATAATATTCAAAATGAAATTGATTAAATTGTCTAATTTTACTAACCGTACCTATAAATACTTTTGCTTTGATTTCTGTGTAGTTATGGTGTATTATAAGTATATACTTTTTTTAAACTTAAAAGGTAATAATATTTTTTTATTTACTTTTTTTTCAATATTTTTAGTCAATAGTAAAGATTTTGTATACTTTCTTTTTGTCTTGTTTTAAATTAGTCATTAGGTACTTAGATTTAGTTTTAGGCCTAAACTATCACAATGGAGAAGACTGTAATGATAGTTTTAGGTAAATAAACAAATAAATAACTATTGGAAAATGGGTAGGTAGCTGAAAAATTTTAGGAAAACGCTCCTAAAATCTTGACATTTCTTTACTATCTAACAAATACATTTTAAGTGCTCGGGGTAATTTAAAAATTAAATTTAATATTATAAGAATTTTTATGACCTATACTACGATGATAAACATGTTTATCTATGTATATTAGGTTACATTACCAATATATTGTGGCTTTACAAATTCGTAGTAAACAAGAACGTATGGCTCACACGCACGCTATATATCTTAATTAGTTATCTGTATTGCGTGCGAAACACAAGGTATGTGAACCCATTCATAAAATTATTACATAATTTATATCGTTACCGATCCACTTAATCGGCCGCTTAAAAAGCTTTTCAATTTGATTAAATTTATAGTTTTTACAAGCCCATAACTTCGTGAAAGCCCAGTCAATAAAATTAATGAATTGAAAACCAGGATTACATTTGAAAATTAATATTACGCGCTTAACTTTACCGTGACTTGTTACGAGTGATTTTCAATGTGTATTATGTAGGTCGCGGACATTCGCTTTACCATGTTTATTTATACTTAGAAAAACGTAAGTTCTACTTTTAGTTTTATTTCTCTATTGTGCAAAGAGCGAAATGTGTTTACTTCTTTGAAATCGATTTTGCGAGTAGATCAGGAATCCCTTCTTATTTCTATTAAGACACACTATGTTTAAATAGAGAAAGCGTCTATGTAAATAATTACGTATTAGAGAGAGTATGGTTTGTACATCACTCATGTGATATTATTTAACATTTAATTCAAGCAAAGGAATGTTTCCAAAATATTCCAAATTTGGACATACATATTACATACCCATTATTATACTTGACCGTTTTATAGAACTTTACAGATTGAAAGTCAACAACATACCAATACCATAATAATATAAAACAATATAAAATTCTGTCAAGGTTTAATGCTAAAAACATTTGAAAATATTATCTACTAGCTGTTACCCGCGACTTTGTTCGCGTGAAATTATTCATATTTCTTGTTAATTTATACTTTTTGACGCAACAACGTGTTGATTGGCGAGGTGTATTTGAGAGCTAGTATGAAACGGATCGTTTATTGTGTACTGAAGATGGCGACTGCGGTTTATCTGTCAGTGTCATTTAAATGATTTAATAAAACGAAATAATCTCCGTAATCCGAATTTTGCGTATATTATGTTGTCGACTCGAAATCAATATTTTTTATATTTTGTTTTTCAGGTAATGTTTCGATCGAGTCTACCGTACCCCTTGACGAAATTATTAATATAGATGTCTCCGTTTTCTTCAACTCTTTATGAACTTGTTAAATATAGAGATGTCAACTAAGTATTAAACGCGTCGGTTCTTCTTCAAAGCTTATCTTTAGTTCACGATCCACATGTGTAGGTACAGTGCGAGTGACATGCCAACTACGTCGGTGTCTCGAGCCAACAAAATTGCTTTGTCTCCGAGACTTTAGCGGAGCGCGTCCCGAATTATGTGGGCGAGAGAGGGCTTCTGAAAGCATTATATGTCGTGTTATTATTTTAGTTTGAATTCCTTACTGCTTGTGTAGATAAATATGTGCTACTAACCTTTCTTGTTCTACTGTACCTATAAGTAGTTAACTAATGATATACTTGAGTAAATAAAGGTACGTTCTACGGAAGCTAATAAATAATTACAATTACAAGCAGAGAACACAAGCAGTGTACGAGTTCAAACATTTGTTTTATTCTTGTTTCATGTTGGATTCCGGAAATCTACCTACTTCTTTACATCCACAAAAATCCGACGTCGTGTTTTATTATAAATTCAACTCGTATGAGTAGAATTTTATTTATACATGGATAATATGGATAATTTAAACAGCTCCCGCCTGAAAAAGCGCCGCGGTGAATTTCCTAATTTTCTTCCATTCACGGAGCATCCGCCATCATTTTTATCTCCCCTCCCTGTCTCCATTTATCTCGGGCTTCTCCAACAGCGATTCGCGTTCTAACATTTTGTTTGTTTCTTACAAAATTGTTATTTCCGACTGCTTTCTTTTCTTAAGCGGATTCGTCTGTAACCTTTATATGAAAGCCAAGGAAATGAGTTCGCCGCTGAATTCTGATACTTGACCTCTTTTCAAGAGACAAATGCAATAATAAAAACAATTTGTCATCTTCAAAGTCACAGGTTATTTATTTATATCGCACAATGGGGTGTCGTGAGGTTGAGGATCATTCCTTATCCGTTCTGATATTTAATTATAAGAATCCTATTATAATCTTGCATTAAAGCATACTTTGAATGAATGTCACGACTAAATGAGATTTTAGTCGATGGTATAAATTATGAACTCGATTTGTGCTATAACATAAACACGTCAGTGTTAAACATTTCAGTGTAGGTGCTCGTGCACTTGAACCAAGTTTATTATATTCGTAGTCGTCGCGTGTTAGTCGCCGTATAATTAATTGTGAGTTAGGTTTAGCTTCACACAAAGTTCATTTGTTAGTTAGAATGAGAACAACTACAGTGAGTTGTATATTCACTAACGGACTAGTGAAAAGACTAAACTAACAAACTGTAGCGACGAAGGCGTTTATTGAAATCAATGAGTTCTTATTCAGCTGCTACCTCGACTAAAGATTTTCAAGCATTCGCACCCTCTCATGGGCGCAGGTGTGCTTGTCTGCTCTATTTTCTACCGTTATTAAAAATCTCGATAGAATTTCTTTTGTGAAAACTCTTGGAAAAAAATCAACTTAAACTTGTTGGCTGAATGATTTGTATGAAAAATTTGCTTCGGTCAATTTTCGTAAATCCTATTAAAGATTGTCGAATGTCAAGAGATGGAAACCTTTTCGATTCGGGTCCTTTTATGGCTTTCACAATTACTCAGGCATAAGTGATTAGATTGATTGTTGTTGAACTTGGGACACTGTGAGAACGTTATCCGCAGGTTGGAGTGCGCGGATGAGTGTGGTAGACTCATATTATTTATTGGTTTAAGAAATATTTAGAACATGTTCTTCGAATGTTGATGGTATGAAGTAAAATGAGCAATAAGTAAGCCGCCTTCTTTAATCATTTCTATGCCATCGACTTATTCTTTTTCTTTGCTAATTTTATTCAATACGTAGAGTATTGAATAAAATTAGCAAATCTCTATTGACTCACAATTGTGGTGAAATAAAAGTTATGATCGCCAAGTAAATTGTAAATTAACTTTTAGTTGTCGCCGTATAACTTGGCGTCCAACATTGTCTGCTTAGAATTTTAACAAGACGATAGAAATCGGTAATCTTTGAAGCTTACTCTAATACAATGCTGTGGCGAAACGAAAGCTCGCATCTTATTTTAGTCCACCTTAATAATTTAGTCACGCCTCTGACTCCCCAGGTAGAAAATTGGAAATTGTGTCATCCATAGCGGAGTTCGCTAAAGAATTATATCTTGTTCAAAGAATTCGCCGGTGCCGGTGCCTTGTGGTGGGGATATCCGTTTTATTAGCGCCATTCACGGCTGAGCTGTACCTTAATCAATTCTATCACTTTCTGAAAATCAGACGTCCCGTTCGGTCCAATGTTTTATTTTGCCTTTGTTTTCAATATCTGTTGTAATTGAGAACGTAATAAAATGAGCAGTAACCTCTACTGGACCTCTACTAGACCGTAGAATTATAATATTGGTAGGTAATTAGGCAATCAATAAAAATCAGATAAAAAAATTTACACACTACGCGTTTTAACAATAATAACTTTCACATCCACTCCACAGCGCTCATGCATAATGAACATTCAAGTATTCCAGTAAATTCTGTGAGGATGAGAACTTAAAATGTAAATAATTCGCATAATTACATTAATTCCATTAAAATATTAACATTTTTCGTTTCATTGCATATTCAATTTGAATGTATGTCATCCTCATGACCTTGGATACTGAATGAATACTGAACAACTTTTCATTTTCCAGAGGCATGTGAAAAAACATTTTGTCGCTGGGGCGCCGAGTGTGTGTCCCTCGGGGACGGGCGTGCCCACTGTGCTTGCCCCACGACGTGTCCGACATCGCCGGCTCCCGTGTGTTCCACCGCCGGCAGAACGTACCGCAACCATTGCTACTTACGTAAGGAAGCCTGCGAGCGACGACTGAACCTCCGCGTCAAGCATGAGGGCGAATGTGGTAAGTGTCGCACAACAAACAACTAACTTTTTTTATTTAATGATGATTAAATGTTGCTCGTTTAAATGTGAAAATTCTACACAGACTAGGGTCACGATAATATGTTGAGATAACATTATTAATTTGCTCATTATTTTAATGAAACTTGGTGCAACATTTACGTTACTCATGTAATTACAATGTTTAATGGACAGTAGCATGCGATCTCTAACCATGTTTAGTGTTGAGAAACAAAGTATAATAAATGATATTATTAATATAGCCCAAACAAAACCTATTTATCATGAAAATACGTGACATTGCACGGCTATTCAGCTCAGCTATTAATTATTTTCATAGCACACGTTTTGACGCGAAAAATATCTGTTTTATTAATTTATTACATTGTAGCGTAGCTATACACGAAGAATATTCTGTAAAAATATTTGGTAGGTACGTAATATAATATTAATTTTGATTTCTATCTATTGTAAATAAAAGTGCAAAACTGAGACAGCAACATATTGAATATAAATACACTTATTTATCAATAGACAGCAGATATCTAAAATAACAAATCAAAAGACCATTCAAACTGTGGTAGATGATAAATACACAGCAATAGAAAATAAAATAAACTGTGAAAGTACTCAAAGATGGCGCCATAAGTAGCGCCACCCGTCACTTGGAGCATTAACAGTGTCAACCGTTCACTACGAGGACAGACATTCGATAAGATAAAGGGTCTTTCTGTCCTTAATCTCGTCACTTTGCCAATGGATCCTTTCGACATCGCAATCGTCATACTATTTGTCGCTCAAATGCTGAGTCTTAACTATTTTGTACCTAATTTTATTTTTATCTTTGGTATGTGCGGTTATTTTTAGTTAATTCCAGTTTAGAAGTGCATTACATTTTATTACAAGTTTTTATCAAGTCAACCTAAATGTATGTAGATAGTATTTTTCATGAATCCTCTTGTACCATATTTGACGCAATATGACGTTTTTATTCAGACCTCATCTTAATTAATTTGTATTTGAAATGAACTGCCTCATTGGCCGAGTGGTCGCAAGTGCAACTGTCGGGCAAGGGGTCTCGGGTTCGATTCCCGAGTCGGGCAAAGTATTACTGGGTTTGTAAAAACCTCAGTAGTAGTACGGAGTCTGGAAATGTGCCCGGTATATGGCAATAGGCTCACCCGCTATTACATGGGACTCATAACATAAATAGTGAAAAGTGGGTGTTACATTGTACAGTGGCGTTAAGTGCAGTAATGTGCACCTCTGCTTACCCCTTCGGGAATAAAAGGCGTGATATTATGTTATGTTGAAATTACAATAAAGATTTCCATGCTTTCAAAACCGGTGCGAATTCTTTCGTAGCTTTTGTACTATTTTTATATTAGACCCTTTCTTGCTTGTCCAATGTAGATGCTGGAGACCCATGTACAGGAGTAACCTGTCCAGCAGGTGCCCGATGTGTGGCCGCCTATGGCCAAGCTGAATGTAGATGTCCACGGAGTTGTCAACGACGCAAGCCAGTGTGTGGGACTGATGGAAGGGAATACTCCTCAGTTTGCCATCTTGACAAACATGCCTGCGATAACCAATTCAACATTACCATCAAATACCATGGAAAATGCGGTATGTGTGAAAGTCTTTGTTTGTTCTGTTACATAAATTAAATTACTTTCATAAAATAAAGAAATTTGTTAATAAATAATCATATTTTGAGGTTAACTAAAAAACCGCGGGTTACTCACATTAACACCCGCGGTCGTGGCGATGTAATGAGGAAGAACCCCTCTGTAGTTCGAAACTAGTAGAACTTTTCTCAGTATATTCACGTGAGTAACCCGCGATTTTTAGTTAATTTAGTATGTCTCACGATAGTTATTATAAAAATATTTTGATGTATACAGATATACAAACTTAATGTCTTTTAAAACAATTTTATTAGATGCTGATACTCAGTCAGTCGTATCTATCCAAAGTAGTCGCAGTGTTGCCGTATGCCGTTGACAATTTTCTCGCACTTTTGTCAGATTCATTCATAGAATGTTCTGTTCAAGTTGCAAGTTTGTTTGTTGCAAACATTGTCCATGTTGCAGCATAAGCAAGTTTATACATTTGACTTGTATGTTGGCACAGCTTTCCATTATGTTAATTGCATATAAGTACATACCGCTTATATAATTATTTATTCTCACATAAACTGAGTAGCTATGGTTATTGCCAGGCTATTATATGAGATAAAATGGGTTATTCAGCTCAGCTACCTCGGAAAATATACGTATTATTCATACCAGGAAATAATATTCATAAATAAAGAACAATAATAAAATTTCGTGAGAATAACAATCCATTTGATTATAAAATTTCCATTTTACTGCGCTCAGCAAGCCACAGTAATTTTAATGAGGGATTATTAATTAAAACATAATGACTTGGTATTGTTACTGTCGATCTTTGAGAGCATAAAAGAACTCGTTAAGAAGAGGTCTTTTCCTAATAATAGACGCGGAGCACACAAAAAGGGTCAACATTTCATTTTGCCCGTGTCAGATGACGTGACTGGCCCAGAATAAAATCGGGCTTTGTAAGGAAACGTGCGTAGAAAGGTGACACGCCTTCTGTCACTCTTCTTTTATTGAAAGAGATCCATCTACAGTTCGGTATCAGTCATTTTGTTACAACATGCAACAGAAATATATGGTCTTGGTCATGTGTCGAGGGAGTCCATACACATACAAAACGACGGTATTTTTATCTATGGTGTATTTTTAAAAGCACGGAAACGTATACGTACTTAGATGTGTATACAGGCATGTCAAGATAGTAAAGGTCTCAAGAACGAGTGCCAACGTTTTGATATACACGGAGGGCAAATAATTAAATCGAGGCACTAAGGACACAATTGAAAACAAATATTTTTTTTTATAATACGCAATCGAGTCTCATGCTGCATATTATTATAAACTAGCTTCTGCCCGCGACTTCGTACGCGCAATCCCGTTCTTTCCCGTTCCCGTTCGTGATGTTTGGAGAAATGTAAAAAAAAATCGATGAAAAAGTATCCTATGTCCGTCTCCTGGTTCTAATCTACCTCCCCACCAATTGTCATCTAAATCGATGTAGCCGTTCTTGAGTTATAAGTAGTGTAACTAACACAACTTTCTTTTATATATATAGATTAATGCACCAGTACCAGGATAGATAAAATCAGTTCAAATCAATATTTCATGAATAGTGTTCTTTATTTAGGAAACAATAAAAATGATGATGCTTCAATTTTTCACTACTTAACGAAGAACTCCCCCAAAGGTCACTGACCATCCAGGGGGCTTACTCTTGAATCCAATTCCGATCGATCGACATTGGTATTGTAAAATTTCGTACTCTTGAGTTGCAACACTAGCGCCCATTGCATCCGTATTGCGCGGATATTGAACTAAATGGTATTGAGTATGGTTTTATATTCCGTACTCTGAATGCTATTGTAACAGCTACGAAAGGGGTTGTACAGTTTTGACATTGAATCATTATTGGGATTTGATTGGATTTAAATTGCATTGACATTGAGATTGGTTTCAAGAGTAAGCACGCAGTTCTCTCAATAAAGTAGGCAATACTATTTTCCACGTCTAACGTTATTTATTTTTTCTGAAGCTTTTTTATGAGCAATAAATATATTGCCGATTCACCTAAAAGTTATACAAACTTTGATGGGTATGGCGAAATATTTTTTCGTAACTCGTAAATTGGGTTGTCTGTTTTCTTTTTCATAAAAGTAATTTAATCTATTCTACTGTACGTATAAAATGTAGTACATTTCGCTAACCCTTTTCACTAAACTTGTCCCAAAATATTCGATCTGAACTAAATTTGTACAAGACTGAATGCCCGCACATTCCGACATCCTTTGTAAGATTCTTTATTTACATTACTCTAGCTTGCTTCGGAGCTTTTATTAGATTGTTTCAACATAGTCTTGTACTCTTTTATACGACAGAATTGCTGTACATAAGATGAGAACTTTTCCTCTGACAAAAATAAGTCTTCTTTATAGAGTTCCTTAGTTTACAACGTGGCCTTTGATTGCATGAATAGCGTTAGAACGTTTGTTTATAATGTTTACACTTTGTTCTTTCGTTTCTTAAAAACCATTTTTTACAGATCCCTGTTCGGAACATGAATGTGCTGACGGTGGTGTTTGTCAGTTAAATGAAGCACGAGCGCCAGTCTGCAGATGTGGTCCACCATGTGATCTGTTGGTGCGGCCCGGCTCCGCCGTGTGTGGCTCTGACTACAAAGACTACCCGAGCGAGTGCGCCTTGCGTAGAGAGTCATGTCGAACTCGTCAGCAACTCACCATAGCATACAGAGGAGAGTGCGCTTCAGGTATGTAGATTACACTTATTAACTCCTAGATAATTGTTACTCCATCTCTGAGTTTTAAAAGCATTTAAAATAAATACTCATTCACTCAAAACCTAGTCTTCTAATCTAAAATTAAATCTTTATTCGGAAATGTAAAGAGCCAGCTTATTTGTATCCCGTGTTGAGGAGACATTTTGTCCTTAGAAAAGTAATTGGGTACGAGCATCGAGGCGCCAAGTCGACCCGAAACAAATTGTGGCAGGAATGGAATAATTTCGTTACCTAGTATTAAAGTTTTAATATTACAAGTTCTGCTTTCTCTCGCTTTCTATCCATCAGAGTTAACTAACTTTTGTGTTAAATTGTTCGTAATAAATTTATGCCAGGGTCTTTGAGATTTAATAGATTTGAAAGCTGTCACGGACGTGTTTAAATTGATTGTTAGAAATATTTTGTTAAATTTGTAACAGCTCAACACCCATGTGACTCGGTCAAGTGCGGGTCTCGCGAGCATTGTACACTGGATGCTCGCGGCGTGGCCGTGTGTGGATGTGGCGCGGAATGTGAGGCGGTGGTGCGGCCCGTGTGTGGCTCGGACGGCCGGACCTACGACTCCCGCTGTCACTTGGACCGCGCCTCGTGTCTAGATAATCGAGATGTACGAGTTGCTTACACAGGACCCTGCGGTAAGTTGAATGTTTTGAAACGTAAAATCCTACTGGCGAATGTGTGACGTGGTTTAGTCAAGTTTGTGGTTTGGTTTCAACTTTGTTTGAACTTCAGCTTACGTTATTCGGTCAACCTTAATGTCGCACGTTAAAATTGTAAACATGACAAGTTACCCACTTTTTTTAATTGACCTATTTGATTTCAATGCAATACTTAAAAACTTTTAAAAACTGGTTTATTTTCACTTAACGTCAAGAACATTATAATAAAATTATACTTAAACATTCTGAAATTGTGACAGGTGTAGAAAATCCGTGCGCTCGCGCTTCATGTCCGTGGGGCGGGGCATGCGTAGCGCGAGGTGGTGCAGCTCAGTGTGCATGCCCGGTGTGTGACGCTACGCTGACCCCTGTGTGTGCTTCCGACCGCAATACTTATGGATCTGAGTGTAAAATGCGCATGCACGCCTGTCAGGAAGGCGTACCTGATGGAGAACTGAAGGTGCTATACAATGGAACATGCCGTGAGTATATCAACACCTTATGACCTATAATTACTACCCAAGATTACATAATATGTATTTGGTATTTTAACTTGTTAATAAAGTCACTCCAATGTTAAGAATATTCTACTCATGTTTCATGTAACATGTACTAATTAAATATAATATTGCAATTAGTTTCAAAACAATATCATGTTAACAATGTTACATATCCATTAGGTAAAGTAGAAGTAGTCGTGTATTGTACCTGGTGTGTACCTAACCAAGAAGTTTCTAGGCACAGAATGGAACAGCTCTTTGAACTAATTTATTGGAAGAACTTCGCTAATTAAATATAGACAACCTAAATAAAAGTTTGCAAGTGTTGTTCAGAACAAAGCTTATCTTTTCAAAGTATAATATTTACGATTTAACAATTTGTATGCTCGTTGGTGATTTATTTCTTTAATATTTACGTTCCAAAGACGAATAAAATGCTTCTATAGGTAATTTAAATTAAAATCCCATCACCGCATTGCCGAATCCGGAGATGAAATTCGGAATTTTTTGAAGAAAAATTGCTATCAATTTCCCGTGATGAAAATCTTTTTTCTTTATGAAATTGTCAATAAAAGGCGAACGACATTCTTTTGCAATAAGAAATATCTTGCGGTGTTCAAGATTTTGCCTGAATTATTTATGGTAAAATAATAAAATATAGGGAAATAAAGTGATAGAATTTTAATGCCAGATAAGTCGGCGCACGAATTCAAAATGTTCTCGTAAGAAAACGGGTAAAATAGAAAGTGTTGAGAAATTTACTGCTGGAGAGGGTGTACTTATAATTTAATATTGAAAATACATTGTTATCGGCGCTCTGGAACACTCATATTATCGCTGTTATTCTGTTAGCATGTAACGATTTATATACGTTGATATTAAATATGATTTTTAATGAAAGAACTCGAGTGTTGGCTGCAATGAAGGTACTCAGCATTTAATAAACCAGGCTACTTTTACATGAACACTCATTTATTTCCGCTGAAACTCATTCAGTTCAATTTGTTCGCGGGACTCAACACAGTAATAAATTGTACGTTACTCTATCATTGCGCACTGAAATGTCAATTAGAGATTAAAATGGCTCAATGGAAATTGAACGCGACGCGGATTGATGAACAGAGAATACGGATTAATTTTATTATTTAAAGGCGTCCGAGCCTGGCTATTAATTATTGAAACAATATTTGATAGAGTCGTTCACCGGCGCTTAGTCACACTTTAATGGATTTTCTTTCAAAGGGTTTTAAGCTACCACTTGTCGATAAATCACAAAGGCCACTTTATAAAAGATTACAACTAATCAATCATTCTGATGGAAAATTGCGTTAAATAAAATTTATGAACGCTCTTTGATTTACGTGTTGTTTATTTTCTTTGCTAAATAATAGAAAATAATATCTCGTGTAAAATAATTAGATAAGTAATCGTCTATTGATATTCAAGATTGCTCGTTTATGTTTGTTAATTTTGCTATGGAGCATAAAACATAAGCGTCTAATTTTTATTTGTCATTTTCTGGTGGCCACCTCAAAAGCTGCTCCACAGTAGTATAACATAATAAATATCGTAACAATAGACAACACCGCTACTTTGTACATCGCACCACACAAAGGAAAATAGCCTTTATTGTGTGTGTTAAATAATGTCTTATTAGACGTGTATTGTTTAGAGACGTGTTCGGACATCGTGTGCAAGGGCGGCGGCGACTGCGTGGTGGACGCAGACAGCGGCCGGCCCATATGTCGGTGCAACCACAACTGCACCGAGGCACAGGTATTGTACTGCTAAATTTACTGCACCTGTATTTATTACTCCTTCGACTGGCTAGCCTAACTTTATAAGACATAACATAAATACCTCCCCAACAACTATGCCTTGCAGAATTATTGTACTAATTTGTAGTGCTAGTAAGTATCCAAACCGTTCAGTTTCTCTTTGTATTAAATTTTAGTTGTGGCATCTTCTTGTTACTATTTATATCGGGGTCCAGGTCAGGTTTTCTTTCTTGATAGAATAACATCTCATAACGTCATCTTATTACAAACTTCATTCTTGTTGTAAACATAATCTTTTATTATTTTAGTGTTTATATTGTTAACTACATATATTCTCATGAACATTTTTCAGAACACGAAATTTAAATTATTTGTCTCCTAACAACTACAAATATTCAAAATTTAGTTTAGAATATCTTTATTTCTCATAAAGAATCATATACATAATTCACTTACTGAGAAACAATATTTCATACAAAAGTAAACAATTTAGAGCGCACAGTAGTACGTACATAATAATATAAACAAAAACAATACAAAAGAACAAATACAAATGTTCACTATTTAAAAATGTGAGTAAAGTGATAAATATACACAAATAACAGAATCAAGCAACACGGGCAGACCAGTAAACTATAACAAAAATATGAAGTAAATGTGGGTAAACCAATAAGTTAATCAATGACTTGATACATGAACTATTTTTACTAGATGTGGCATTGATGGCATAGTTTATACGTCTTAATGTACTTGTTTTATTTTACTATTGTACTTGGTATTTAATTTAAACTATTTAGAATTTGCCTTTTACGTTATTAGGAGTAAACACTAGTCAATATTTTAATTATACTTACAAGTATTCATAATTTGTAGTTATTAATTATATTAATTTTAAGTAATTTTTTGAACCGCACATAACTTTTTTCTTGCCTTATCATTGATGGTAGTCTATTGTATAATTTAATACCTTCGAACTCCAGACTTCTTTTTCCATAGTTAGTTCTAGGGGGACGGGTTACTAAGTAACTCGCACGTCTAAGATTTATTTTACGTGTTTGCTGTTTTGTTAAAAAGATTAAGTTTGAATGGATTTCCTTATTTAATATTTTACGTATTAAAATACATGTGTAGTATACATATGTTTGTTTTATATTCATTAACCTTGTGTTCTGGTATAATTTTTCAGTAGGTGTCCGATATTTATAATTAAATAGGGTTTTGATTAATCTGTTCTGAATTCGTTGAATTTGATCTACGTTAGTTTTGCATGCAGTGCCCCAAATTTCAATGAGATAATCTATATGAGGTTTAATTAAAGAATTGTAAATTAGATATTTAACTCTTTGCGGGAGACATTTTGATATATTGCGCAGTGCCCCTGAAAGTGAGCCTCGTTTAAGTTTAATTTTTTCAATGTGTGCTTTCCAGGTCAGGTTACTATCTAAGATTAGCCCAAGATATTTTTCTTTATATTTTCGTTCGAGTATTTGGCCGTCTATTTTAAGTTCAAGGTTTATCTGTTTTTTTCTATTTTTTGCAGCAAAAATTAAATAATTTGTTTTTGTAGTATTGATAGTTAACAGATTTGACTGAAACCACTCATTCAGTAGATTAAGATCGTTCTGAGCGTCAGTCATTAGATCTTCAACTGAGTCTCCAAAATAAAACAGACTCGTATCATCAGCATATAGGGAAATGTCTCCTTTTAGGCCCAATTCACTGATGCTGTTAATATAGACAAGGAACATGAGAGGGCCCAATATGGATCCCTGAGGGACGCCGAAATCGAGAATACGGGCGCTGCTTTCACAATCACCCATTTTCACTACTTGTTTACGGTTATCCATGTATGATTTAAAATGTCAAGTGCTTTGCCTCTAATACCACTGAGGTTTAGTTTGTGTAATAGTATGTCGTGACTAATAGTATCAAAGGCTTTCTTAAGATCTACAAATATACCCAAGACCACTTGTTTTTTATCAATACAGTTTTTTATTTTAGATACGAGATCAATTGTTGCTCCTAGAGTATTTGACTTGGCTCGAAATCCGTACTGTTTACAATAAAAGAAGTCTTTTGAATTTAGGAACATTTCTAGGCGGTTATAAAGAATCTTTTCAAAAATCTTAGAGATCACCGGGAGAACTGATATGGGGCGGTAGTTGCTAGGGTCAAATTTACTTCCAGACTTATGAATTGGGACAACTTTTGCAATTTTTAAACTATCTGGAAACGTACCTTTTGTTATACAGTTATTGATGCAGTCTGTTAGTTCTGTTGCAATAATAGGGGTAACGTGTTTAATCGTTTTTGAAAAATAAGTTCAAGCAATATATAACATATCAGCGTTTATTCAAATAAAAAACTACAATTAAAACTAACTATTACTTGAATAAAATTAAAACGAAATATTACTAAATTAAATATATACACAACTTAAGATTAAAATTAATTATAAGAAAAACAAAAACAACTATTTACACAAAGCATCGAAAAATTCGTCCGCATTCAAGCAATTAATTTTGGCGTGTGTAATTGCAATTTGCTTGCTGACATAAGTTTTATGTAGGATTAAACTCTCTAGTATGTTTGAAACCGCAAGTTCCTTTCTATCTACGTATTGGCTAACTGCATAGACATAATCAAAAGCAAATACCATTAAGGTTTAGCAATGACTAGTTACCAGGCGGTTAACTGTACCTGCAACTCATTTAAGTGCCAAGTTAACACCTAAGTTTACTAACAATAGCTAGTTAAGACGAATACTTTCTATTGTTATATATTTTAAGTAGAGGTATATACGTTTTAAGGTAACATGAATATAAGACTACCTCATTGGCCGAGTGGTCGATAGTGCGACTGCCGGGCAAGGGGTATCGGGTTCGATTCCCGGGTCGGGCAAAGTATTACTGGGTTTGTAAAAAACCTCAGTAGTAGCATTGAGTTTGAAAATGTGCCTGGTATATGGCAATAGGCTCACGCCCTATTAGATGGGACTCATAACATGAATAGTGAAAAGTGAGTGTTACATTGTATAGTGGCATTAAGTGCTGTAATGTGCACCTCTGCCTACCCCTCCGGGAATAAAAGGAGTGATGTTATCTTATGTTTATACGTAAATAAAAAATATTTGAATGCAATATCCGTATTTCGTATATTAAAAATCAATAAATAAATATTTGACAATTGAATAATTTTATAATTACAGTAAAACAGTTTGTATTGAGTCGCAAATGGTTCAAATTACATACTATGTATGTTTTTGATGACAGTTTCGGTTCTTAATTATAATTCAAGTGTGACGGAAAAGTGGGAGTCACCAACATAATGTATCAATGTTTTTTGCACGCTGTTACTCGTATAAATTAGTAGGGTCCGTAATTATAATGAGAAATGTATTCCATTGTTTACAGTAAGTTTTAAAACTATAATCCATCACATCTCTATCAAAATGAAACATGAATCTCACGAGTTAATCTAATATCGATAAGTACTTTAATTCAACGACGTAGATACTCGATTTAATAACCTCTTGAGGGTACAGTTTCAAACCAATCAAGTTAAGCCGATTTTAAACAATACTCGGAAATAAGCCACCAAATAACACATAATTGGTGAAAGAGAAGCTGTGATTATACTGGTTTGGTTTGGGAGCCGGATCATAATAAGCTTAACAATAATATCTCTCAGATATCTCCATTATTTCTTAATTAAAATGCTCACCTTGTTCCTTGAATTTGTTAATTAATAAATGCTTTGATGTCTATCAAAAAATTGCGAAATCATAAGAAAATGCTCGAGTCTAAAGTTTAGCAAGAAGATAAATGAAAGTCAGCTGCCTGGTCCAAGATAAATAATAGATTTGTGAGCCGTAAGATCATTCTAGCTTATTTTCTTATTTCTACGTAAAGATGCTCAGATGGGTGGTCGTGGTTTCTGTCCTAAATTGCCTTATGAGTTACGTTTTCGCGACTTTAGTACGTTATGGATGGCGTCTCTTACATTACGAAAATTAATGTCGTAGCGAATATTACGGCCTGGTTTTTCTCTGTCAGAGTTTTCTGGGATATTATAAGGAAACGTAGCAGAAGGAAGGAAGGTACATCTGATAGAAATATCTGGCGTAATCCACTGTGATTAATACAGTTCTAACTTTTTCTAACTTTTGGATTTGAAATGTATTGTTTTTATAGTAAATATTTTAATTGATTCTATATTTATTTCTAATGGTAATTTGGTCATGACTTATCTTATATTTGTTTAATATTCGTTGGCGACAGGAATCAGACGTGGTATGCGGGAGTGACGGGCAGACGTACCCGTCGCAGTGTGAACTGGACTCGACAGCGTGTCGGGAACAAACTGATCTGCGGCTCGCCTACAAAGGCGATTGTGGTAAGTCAGCCTCATTCATAATTTACTGTTGTTTTAAAGCTTGATATTTGTTCTTTTTATGAAAATTGTAAGTTAAAAGGCTTAAATAAAAGTGAAATAAAGTATAGCATAACTCGATCTATTATATTCATTATTCAATTGATTGCGAAGGCCCACTCGTGTATTAGTTTAATTTTAGATTTTTAGTTATATTGGAATTTTGAACAATTTATAAAGCCTCTCAAGCTTTCAATATGAAATCACGTGGAATTAAAGCTTAAACAACCACTACTTTATCGTTATTAGTTTCGTGAAAGTTCGTACTCGAAAATTGGTAAATTGATATTGATAGCAACCTTTACAATTTATCGGAGTAAGGAATCTTTAATTTGTGTGGAAATAGCACAGAACAAACGATCTTTTGGGGCACTGAACTCGTGAAAAGATTTACGAGTGTTTACTGTTTAACTCAGTTTCAAAAGGTTTGTACACAAAATACTGTAGCTAACAAAGTTAGCTATTTGCGAAACTTTATACGCGATTCTTTCAAAAAGGTCACAAAAGGCTTTTCTAACAATACAGGTTGAGCACTAATCTGCAGGTTTTAGATTAGAATTTTCCAAAAAACGTGGTATGAGTAAGGCCAATATACGGAACTTAACCTTTCAGACCTACGGAACATTCGATGAGAATTTTTAATTAATCACTTGTTAGTGTATGGGGATGAGTTAAAAAAAAGGTTTCGATCTTCGTGTTATGTTTCGTCGTGTGAGTGTGATTACCGGAGGCCCTCCCCTTCCCCAATCTCCCCAATTCCTGAATCTCCTACGATCCTCAAACTCCTAATCCCCAAAAGGCCGGTAACGCACTTGTAACGCCTCTGGTGTTCCAGGTGTCCATGGGCGACGCCGATTGCTTACCATCAGGTGATCCGTCTGCTCGTTTACCGGCTTATATCATAAAAAATCTCATTATTTCGGTTTTGATGATTTACTTTTACACACAATTTTATATTCTCTTCGAGGTCCGGACTCGGACGTCAGTAGTTGACACGGAGCGATCTGCCGTCTGCCCTTCATAACTCGCCAGAGGTGATACGCTATCCTTTGTCAACCGGGTCAACCGCTGTCAGACTTTTAGACTTCACACTACCCGTAACAAATGTCATAAATCTTCGTATGACAGCCGACCACTGACAGTTTTACGTGCTCACAGAAACAATGGCTTAAGGCCAATTTCTCAATCATTAGTTAATACTTAACTGTAGAATTGACAGTAGACTGCTTTTTTGCGGAAAAATTGACAAATATTCAAAGTTATTATTCTGATACAATTTAACTGAGCATTTAAAAAACGGCCATTAAAGAAGAAAGCAGTTTGAAACTACAAAATAAACTAGCCGCTGGCTCTGTAACCAACCGTTGAATATTTATTTAAAAATAAAAAAAATATTTGCAGAAAATGTTACGCACATGTCAGACAGACTAAGCAATAAATTATTGAAAGCTTTGTACTTTCTCAGATATTGTCGGCGTTTTATTGGAATAAAGAGTTTTTTATGAAGCTGTGATAGGCTTAGGTATTGCGCAGAGGGATTAGAGATCGATAGCGGATTAAAGTCTCCCCATAACGGGCGTACCCGAAACAGAGTGAGATTAGGTAAATCGCCTTTGTGATGTGCATCCTCGGGTTACTTTATTAATCGCGGGAGGTCGGCGTTGGAATTTAAACTGTAATCCCATACATTTGTATAGGGGATCAAGGAATCAAAATAAAATCTCTTTTACTTACTAAAATCTTTTGAATTATGTAGCTTGTATAATGTTTTTAAAGCGTGGAATATTTTATCTTCAACACGAAATAAATATCGATATATGAAGCAGATATTGAGAATGAAAAGACTGAGATTCTATTGTTGAATTTAATTTCCGGAGGCAACTTTAATATGGGATTCAGCAATCTAAATGGTACCAAATCTCGGCAATAAAGATTGATACCATTTCAGAGTTTTCTAGATTTATATGTGCCATGTGTACATTTAATTTTATATTGTTGTGTGATTTCGTGATGTTAAACCGTACTTTATAGAATTTATGTTTAAATATGATTACCGGGTATTTTAGGTAGATGAGATATGTAAATAAGTTTTCTAAAGTTTATTTTTAAACAAAATTGCATTTTGCTGTTACACAATATTCTTAGACAAGATAATAAATATTTATACCTGTGCAGAGGTCACGTACTACGCGTTAATTTTATATTCAAGTGCCAACGTTATACAACAATGATTGTTCTTTTTATAGCAGAACTATTAAAATATGAAAGGGTACGTACACAGTAAAAATTGTGGTGTAATCTTTTATATTTCAAGTAACTAGCAACCCATTAATTGCGGGTTCTTGTAAAGATAACGAAAGTTCAGTCCTTTTCATTTTGAGCGGCAGATATTGTTGTGTCTACACTGTTCCTACTTTAAAATTTTATTACAAAACATCTCCTTCCATTTTCCGTCCGGTATTAATCGACCGCTTTCACAAGACTTTCATTTTGCGGAGAAGTGGTAAACAATCGTTATTAAATTTGCACGGGTGTCTTCCCTCATCCCTCAGCGAGAGACAGAGGAAGCCTAATTTTCCTTAGCGGTAGAATGAGAGAGGTATTACAGGAAGCACACAATTGTCCAACGTAATGACATTATCTGTTCAGCCATTCGTTTCTCGGAAAACTTCAGCCAGGGTGCTTACAAAGTCGTAACCTTGCCAGCGCAGACGAAATAAAACTCGCGCTTGTATTATTATTTACAGCTCACGCGACGCGCTCGTATTGACTTCCTCAAAGCCCTGTTTATGTATTTAATTAAAGTAGAATAATGTAATACTGATGCGTTTACTTATAAGACATTTCTTCTACAGCTTTGTGTGAAGGTGTTCAATGCGCTTTTGGAGCTCATTGTGCTGCTGGCGAGTGCGTGTGTCCTACGGACTGTACCGGGGCTGCTCGAGAACCAGTCTGTGGCAGCACAATGCAAACTTTTCCGAATGAGTGTGAACTGCAAAAGGCCGCATGTAGGCTACCTCCACCGGCTACACTACACGTCATATTTTATGGAGACTGCAAAGACAGACTGGCCGTCGTACCTCCTATAGCAATGAGTACGTATGGAGATACCAGTTTTTATTTAACATCTCTTCTACTTATAATTATTAACCCTACTAACTTGAAATTAACTAAAATGTATCATTTTTCCCAAGTTTATTTCATGTAATTCTATAAATCGTTAAGTCAAAGTAAAAATTGTTGACCCAGCTGTAATTATTTACCTACTATCGGACCAACATCAACCCAGTTGTGAGCAGTAATTTCAATATAGCGACCCATCGTCAATCAATTTATCGCTCGACTTTCCGCTTTATCGCTCGACTAACACGCAAATATTTGGGCTGGGGTTTAGCTACGACCGCGATGACCACCACCGAGGCGGAGGATGGTTCCACAGATGTGTGGGGCGCCACTGACTTGGACGGCACGGCCAATCCCTCCGCTTGTCGAGATATTCGCTGTGATTTCGGCGCCAGTTGCGAAATTGGCTCTGATGGTTATCCACGCTGCTCCTGCCTTTTCGAGTGTCCGCACGAAACAGAATACTTCCCCGTGTGTGCCTCAGACTTTCGACTTTATCCTAGTCTCTGCGCTATGCGAAAAGAGGGTTGCCAAAAACAACTTGAGTTGAGACTTCGACCGTTGGATCTTTGTAAAGGTTTGTTTTCTTGCTTTCTAACACACACTAACAACTAATTACTGTATAATATGAGTAGAGCACTATTCACATATCATATTGGGCAATGAATTATTGTTAACCACAGGTATGGAAGTAAGACCCTGCGGTAATAATAAAGCAATGGTTGACCCTACCACTGGCCTCGAAATAGACTGTGGTAACGGGCCGCACAGACAGGATTGCCCCGTTGGCAGCTACTGTCATATCACGCTGACAGCGGCACGGTGCTGCCCCAAAAGTAAGTATTTCGTATTCACATACAAAATAAATAGTGCAAATTTACCAGTTTCATGTAGTACGCACTTGTTCTAATATTTTTTTAAATATTCATATATTTTAATGTATTGTTCGCTTTTACTTTTAGTTGTTATTTGTTTCAAATACGGTTCAGACTCATTAAGTCTCAGCAATTCAGCCCTGATAGAATATATTGGTTTATAGCCTAAACTTTTAACAAACATTTAACATCCAACAAGGGTAATAACAATTTTGTACTGAACAACTGTACTCTATAAATGAACATCTATTGTAATTAAGTCTGCGCCAGGCAAATATTCCATTTAGTAGTAGATTTTAATTGTTTGTTGAGTTACGATTAATCTATTTCAATTAATTTCGAAACTGATTTGTAGTCTCCATACTACTTCACTTTAGTTATAACTTTGCTCTATAATATTTCTATGAATACAATCCTCGGGTTTTATGCACATAATATGATAGCTAACTGGCGATTTGTCAGAGTGAAGATACTAACGGTACACGGCACCAACAGTAAATTGGATACAATCACGCTAGCCGTTACCGCTTTGGGTCTTTTGTCTCCATCTTATAAAATATGGTATTTTATTCAGTCGTGTGAGTCTGATGACACATGGAATGGCTTGGGCAATAATTTCTGTTATACATTATTGCACAGACGATTCGAGACAATTTGAGGAAAAGAAGATATCTCACTGTTCGGAGACGTCGTATGGATGTTGTTCGGACGGTTCGACCACAGCCAGTGGTCCTAATGAGGAAGGGTGTCCAATCACGAGCTCGACTTGCGGTTGTAACCGGCTCGGCTCGGTGTCGGATCGATGCGATGAGGACGGACAGTGTGTTTGTCGGCCCGGTGTGGGCGGCCTCAAGTGCGACCGATGCGAGCCTGGCTACTGGGGACTTCCGAGGATCGGATCCGGCCACACTGGATGTATTCGTACGTATACTTTATTACTTATCGATATCATTATTTTAATTTTGTAAGTACATTTTAAATTATTAACACAAGGAAAGTCGCACCCCATTACATGAGATGTTTTATTTTAGCTTGTGGGTGTTCAGCTTTCGGTTCAGTGAGAGAGGATTGCGAACAAATGACTGGTCGATGTGTTTGCCGAACTGGGGTTCAAGGACAGAAGTGTACTGTGTGTGCCGACCACAGACGCAGATTAGGACCCAACGGGTGTTCCGACCGTAAGTCGTATTTTCTTTTAAAAAACACAAACCCACTCTTCACTGAGATTTAGGGTCCTCATTACAAAGGTACTTACAACAATGCCATGCCTGACCCATGTCAAGATGTTTTCGTATTAACCGTTTTTCTTTTTTGTAGGTAGGTACTTATTTAAGCACGACTGCGTGCATACACCTCGCTTCCTTTCTATTTCCTTAAATCTAAAATACCAAGGTGTACATTAGCAAAAACGTTGTATTTTAACGTTGTTACCATTAAAAAGTATAATTACAGATTTAATTATCCTTCATTGATTAGGGTAACCTTGTTACGCTCCCTGTAGGCTCTGAAAGGAAAATTTTGATTAGGCCGGAAAAGTACTTTTTGTATGCGTAACAAATTTCCAGAACATAGGTAAAAAGGCTTTATCTGGTTACGAATTGAACTTGATGCCCTTAATTACAGTGATTAGGGTCTTGTAACTTACCTATTCTATTCATGTGGATACACGCAAAAACATTTTAATTAGGGTTTATTTTATTCGTTTCCTAAACAAAATGTTATTCTGTAGCTGAAACGGGTGGCGTTGTATCATCCTGCGCTGAACTGTCATGTTACTTCGGCGCGGTGTGTACGGAGCGCACTGGAGGCGCGCTGTGCGAGTGTGCAGCGGCTCCATGTTCCGATAGCGACACCAACATGCTGGTGAGTACTACTGTTATTCCTGTCTAGCGTTCTAATAATACCTTACTCATCATGAATATTAATAACCACTGATTTATTATAATTTTGAAGTTCTCCGAGTTACGAACTTGTAGCCAATAAATATTCACATCAGAGAACACGACCTTGTAACTTCGCCAGTGAAACGTAGCTAAGTTTAACCAAAACCAACAGGTATGCGGTAGCGATGGCAAAACTTACGAGTCAGAGTGTCACCTCAAATTGCAAGCGTGTCGCACGCAAGAGGATATAGTGGTGCAAGCGTTTGGTCCTTGCAAGTTGGGCGAGGTGGCTGGTACGGCAGGCCCACCACGGCCATCGTCACCGATACAATTCACACAGCAGGATGACGGCGCAGCTTCCAAATCTACCAGACACCTTCTCAATCCTGACAAATACTATAACAAATATGACTGGACCAGAAAAGAGACGCCAAGTGACTTCGATAGCATCCTATCTGGACAAAAATTCAAAGGTAAGTCTTAATTTTGTTTTTTTTTTTTTGTTAATCATATTAAAACAAATCATTATTTTCATCAGACTACACCATCCTACAGCAGAATTAAATTGACAAAAGTCGTTAACTATCATTAAGGAGTTTATTATAGACCTTCCCGTTTATTTTTAGAACTAACTAACCATTTGTTTATCCATTTCATTGAAATCTGAAACGATCTAATTTCATCACCATTCTTATAACGCTTTAATCTGTCAGAATAATGGTGTTAGCACTTGAGCAGTTTTTAAGATGATAACTGTTAAAATCAATTAACGTAGTTTTTTTTAATGTTACTACTATAAGTATAAACTAGGGTCACTACCAAAGTCTATCTAGATTCGGATTAGCATATTCATTTTTACTCTTAGCCACAACGGCAACAGTGGGATCTGGTGCGGTTGGCGCCCTACTGGGCGACTTGTGCGCTGACGATGGCGACTGCGCCGCCCTCCCGGGTGCGGAGTGCGCGCGCGACGCATGTGTGTGTCGCGCGGGACACGTGCCAACCTTACATAGAAAAGCATGTGTTGGTACGTACTTAGTGTAAAATGTAGTTTGTTTTAGTATTTATTGATTCGTTTTTTTGGTGTATTAGTTGTGTAGATGATATGTAACGAAATTTAAAGATATTAAGTTAGAGTAACGTTAATGAAATGTACCATTGGAAACTCAAGTCGTAGCGAAAGTCATGCGATTCAAATATTATGGACATATAATTCAAAACATATAGTGACAAAGTACTGCGAGCTTAATTAACTTATTCATTTTATTCACTACACTATACATACATATTCAAGACATGAACTTACACTAATATAATTTTCATAACGTATACAACGCGGCCATTGCTCATCCTTTAAGTTAATACGGCACATTTCTATGTTTAATATCAAAGTAAGTAGCTCTTTCTCACGTAATTATAAACTTGACAAGTTGGAGTGGGTTGTCTGTCCGTTCGCGAACATTCTCGCATGAAACCTTATCTCACCAAGTCATGTGACTTGGAACGCAAACTCCGTTCCTGATTAGCACTTTCTTAGGACGATAAGTGCCACATGACTGGCCTCATTTACTCCAACTGTAATCCGCTAAAATAATATCTAGATGTGTCAAACTCATGACGACTAATTACAAGATAATCTGCTTAGCATTAGTCCATTTCACTGATTTCTCTGTCTGTGCTAAGAATAGAAATATGTTAGGAAGGTTTGAATGGCTTTTCGTCTTAGCAAAATTAATAATTGTACAACATATATTATTATCATTAGGTGCAATTATCAGTTTATTCAGTAGGTAGTTATTATTCTATGTTTAGTTATAGTCTTGTAATGTATTTATTTCAATGCTTCTTAAACATTTCACAGAACAAATTCCACAAGAGACCACAGAAGAATATAGCGCTTGTTTATCAGAGCCATGTTACAATCTCGGTACATGTATTGATTTGCCTGGATCCACTTACACGTGCTTGTGTGCCGGCCCTTACACAGGATTGAACTGTGAGTCCCTCGCAAAGGACGGACTTCTGGCCACCTACATAGAGACTCCTTCCTTCGACGGCACTTCTTATATAAGACTAAAACCCTTGAAAGCTTACCACAAGTTGAATATCGATATTGAATTTAAAGCCTTTTCCGAGAACGGCGTCATATTGTACAATCAGCAAAAACCTGACGGCACGGGTGATTTTGTTTCGCTCGCCTTAGTCAACGGATATTTAGAGTTTAGGTAAGCAATATTTCCCTGCATCACTCTAGATGTAATAAAATGCAAAGATTATTGGATTCGATAAAACGGCGAACTGCTTTTGGATATCGTTTACAATTTAATCTCATTCTCGATACAGGTATAATCTTGGAAACGGAGTGTTAATACTTACTTCACTAGAGAAGATAACATTAAACGAGTATCACAAGGTGTCTGCGAAGCGATACCATCGAGACGGGATTTTATCAGTCGACGATATGGAAGACGTGGTCGGCCAATCTAGTGGCCATTTAAAAGCGCTGGATTTGAATGAAGACGCTTATATCGGGAGCGTGCCGACTAACTTTTCTAGGTATCTTGAGTGTTTCATTACTTCGATATTCATGTAACTTTTTCAATAATAGGATATTATATTCTTTCTTAATAAGCAATAAGTAATTAATGAATGTCTCCATACAGAGTCTTCGATAATATTGGCACTCGGCACAGCTTTATCGGCTGCGTAAAATACTTGAGGATAATACGTCATCAAGTGACAAAGAAATTGGGCCGTCCGGATTCATTAGTCGTTGCTATAGAAAACGTACAGGAGTGCCAATCCAACCCATGTATGAGTATGCCGTGCAAGAATGGTGCCACGTGTAAATCTATAGACGGGTCGGCGACCGAATATACTTGTAGCTGCCCTATCGGATTTCAAGGAGCCAATTGTGACGAGAGATTAGATCCGTGCGAGTCGAATCCCTGCGGATATGATGAGGGGCTATTGTGTGACATCGGGACGGACGGCGGACACGTTTGCCGTTGTTTGTTTGGAGGTGAAATTGGCTCCAATGGAAACACTTGCAATAATGGTAAGCCTTATTTATCACTTGCTTACCAAACAACCGGCCTTGCACTTAAGATACCTATATCTAACGAAATTTATATTGCAACTATTCCATGCTCAATTTGTTCACAGACGTAAATGTGGTACAAGAAACCTGGTCCCCTCAGTTCAACGGGACGAGCTACATTGAATTGCCGCCACTTGAAGGGCTGGGCAAAGCGTTCCGCATTGAAATTTGGTTTTTAACGAACCGATTTTCCGGAATGCTCCTTTATACTGGCCAGTCTAATAAAGCCAAGGGGGATTTTATAGCGATTAACCTGGTTAATGGTTACCTTCAGTTTAGATACAATTTGGGGAGCGGTATTGCTAATATAACGTAAGTACCGTGTTTTAATTTAGGGATAAATTTATTTTACACGGAAAGCTAAACGTCCTGAATATTTTTAATGGTTGTTGATGATCTGTAGCGTTATTTTTTTATTTTATGAAGGTCGCCAGTCCCGATAACAAAGGGTCGTTGGCATCGAGCGCGGGTGTCCCGTTCAGGTCGGCATGGTAGTCTACAGTTAGACCACCATCCTACACAGAAAGGACACTCTTTTCCTCCATTGACACATTTGGAACTGACTCTACCCTTATTCATTGGATCGCTACCGTGAGTATTACTGTCAAAATTATTAACTGTATCTTTGTGTTTGGAACAAAAGTGTTGAGATTATGGTTTGTATGACCACTCGCCTAATACAAAAACCATGTCTCATTTTGTACCCAATCATGACATTCAGAATCACAATCACTTCACTCAGCGAGGCATTTCGCCAAAAATACAATAAAATTGCTGAAATAGTTCCAAAGTTGTGCTGTTTCATCCTGACTATTATTTCAATCGAAATCTCTTTCCTCAGCTCTTACATTCGTCCGCACAAGATGTCAGGCGTGACCAGCAGTTTCATAGGCTCGGTGCAACAGGTCTTTGTGAATGGCAAACCTTTGTCTTTGTATGGGGCTGACACGGCTAAGTGTACGATAGTGCAGGATGAAGATCGCCTCCCTTGTGCCACTACTGGGGTCACTCGGTACACCGGGCCGCCTTGTGGAGAGGGTAAGTTTTCTGAATATGATATGTAGCTGCTGTTGTTTTTAATAAATATATCGATGCTAATTGAATGGATACATGTGGTAATCGGAAAATTTAAATTGAAATGTATTGCTAGATTGTTTGTGCAATAATCTTGACAAGTGTCTCAACATTATTATGAAAACAAATTATAAGTAAGGGTTACATGGAAGTTAGGCGATTTGGCGATTCAGTTCTATGGTACATTTTTATACAAAGCTATAGGTGACGTCATCATTTTACCTTCGCCATCAATTAAAGAAAAGGCTTAATGCTATACTGGCATGTTACAAATAGAGGTTATTCAGATGTTTCATAATTAACAAAAGGAACAAATTATACCCTTTCGCTTAGCTTATGTACTTTTCTTTGTACTTCGATTTTGTATTACCGAAGTATTGTTTTAATTAAGAGCATTCTTCATTTGCTTGTTAGCATTACAGTTTTTTCCATGTAATTAATTACAGACTGATATTTAATGTATCTTTACTTGCGTTTATTAAAGAATTCTTGTTCGTTTCACTTTATTACTCTGCTTGCACAAGAAAGCACGAACAGAGGGTAACTTTTCAGAGCGTCGTTTTTACGCAGACTAAAAGTGGAATTCATTTATAGTTTTCCCCATAAAAGCTACTAACTAACCATATTTAATAAAAGTATAAATAATATAAAATGTGCTTTAGTGTACAATTTTATTTATATTAACCATGAAACTTATTCGTCGTTTAGATCTAACGCCATGCAAGAACAATGGCTCCTGTATACCCCTCCTTAATGAATACAAGTGTACTTGTCGAGACGGGTACCAAGGCAGGAACTGTGAGATTCAGATCAATGTTGAAATGCTTAATGAGAGGACACCAGTCAACTTTGATGGAAACAACTACTTCTCCTATCGAAGCAGAGGCAGTCGCAGGTAAGCATAAATATAGTGAAAAATCATCTACGAGAAATTCCCTTATATGCAAAATTTGTGTTACTTAACAAAACTTACCTCAGACACAATAATGCAGAGTCATAAATTGTACAGTTTATGAATATGGTTGTCTTGACTTTCTTGTCTAACTTACTTACATTCGTTATTTTATAAGGGTTTTATTGCTAAATCTACTAATAATGTCTTCGGTTTTATTTTAATTTGTGAAAGACACGATATCTAAAACTGTCATCGGCAAACAATATCCCGATGTTTATGCTAATTCATGTTAATTGTAACTGATACTAATTTTCTATCTTTTTAGCTTACATACTAACACAGACGTCGGTGAGGGACACTATGGTGTAAGATAACATTTGAAGGAATCAGCAATAATATATTAGTCGTATAACGTCACAGCAGTTAGTTTAGGTAAAACATTATATACTTATATTTAATATTTCCTCGTAGCTGTAGTAAAAGTGGGGACATTTAGAAGTCGCGTGGTTTCAGAAACATGAATAGTTAATGGCGACACGTGGAAATTTCTCCACTTAAAGTATAATTTGAATAGTTGGCTGAATTTAATGACACTTAATACCACCATTTGTTTATATGTTATAAGCGTCGCTTTTATTCTTTCCTTTTGTGTAGTTTTATTGCGTTATTTATTCATTTGTAAATGTTCTATAACATTTTTGATTGCCTTTAATGTTGGTACGTTTTTGGTTCAATTAAACATTGCATGGTAAACAAATATGTCAAAGAAAGATAAAAGAGCGTCAACAATTTATTTATCTTTCTGTGAACTTTTGTCAAATTAGTTGAACTTTTATGAAAGACTTTTGAGCAAAGTTTGCGCAGTTTCGTATTCGTATTTGTCCAGAGTTGATAGTAAAGTGCCGTAATAATGTGCTTCAACAAGCTTCCTTGGCCTCCGCTCCGAATGTATAAATTCACAGGAAGTCAAATAAGTTACACCGAAGTTTACGTATTTACATAAACACGTTAACGTAACAACGTACATTGTAAATACTGCTTCACGATAGTGTCTTTGTGTGCTCACTCAGCTATTTTATTTGTTCTTCTACTTATTTGCATCTTGAAATTACCAGAACTTTTCTTATTTGTCAGTTGTTTATGTACATTTTAAACTAATATTGTAACTTAACGTAACTATACAATGTCCCAAATGTGTCTGTGAAATTAATGATCAATTATTTATAAGTTTTACGACGAATATTTAATTAGTTTAGTCAAAGCGATACTTTTTTTTGTAACTACTTATAGATCTCATTAACACTAACTTTTACTTGGAAATAAACAAATCATTCCTTGTTATCTCGCCCACGTCACTAAAATTCTTGAAAGTTCTTTAACAAATATTTATTCTACGGCAACTACAAAGCGAACGTGCTTTTAAGGATATTTGGGCTAGAGGAATGTTTATACTTAACATGCTCCTAAAAATACATAGAGGACGAGTAATTAGGAGCGGGACTCTGTTCCCACGATTAGTTATGAAACGGGAAAACTGAACCAAAATCCATTTAGCAACTTCCGAGCTAGTTTTAGACTAATCTCGAAAATTACCGACTAGCTGCGGAGCATACAGATTGGCAAATAGATGCGGGAACTTGCGCTATCATGAAGCGATAGACTTTATTAGGTAATAGGTTTAACTAGTTTCATAGCCGCAGTGTCAAATAAGTACCAAAGTATATTTGGACCTACTATATTGAATTGCCTAAATTGGAGACCCGAAACGGGTGCCCTAATAAATAAGGTCTTTCATCGCAATCTAATTTTCCAACTGATAGGTCTATTGAACTTGCCGAGGTAGCAAAAGCGAGATTTTAATTCCGTAGGCCATATAAAAGGAGCTCTTACAGGTACTCTGATATATTGTCTACTTGTGCTCTCCTTGCCGATCGGTATAAATAGAACCTAAAGAGCAAAACGAGTAAATATAAAAGTAAATAACGTAATCGACGTTTTTGGTAATGGATGGGTAGAAATTGTTAATAATATGAGATACAGAGGTGGAGTATCTTTTTATATTCATCGAATAGGAATTCTATATTTAATCACTCTAACAAAATATGGGGGCACCATCTCATTTGTCTAATATTTTTGTAATCACACAAAAGCATGCACTAATTTCATTACTCGCTCAGCAATTAGATTAGAGCTAACAATAAAGACAACAAACTCGTTACACAATATTAAATAATATCAACTATTTTAGGAACAGCGGCTCCCGCGGTATTAGATATGAAATAAAGTTCCGAACATACAACGACTCTGGCCTCCTAATGTGGAGAAGAAAAATCGGTATACGGCCTCGAGACTTCATCGGTCTAGGTTTGAGTGACGGGAAACTGCAGCTTATATACACGGACACTGATATAAAGGAGATGAACTTGGCGACACACGAGGACTGGTTCCAAAATATAGAGTCCAAAGCCAGGGTTGACGACGGCCGGTGGCACACCGCCACGGTTCGCAGAAGGAAGAGGCTGGCCATGCTTCAAGTCGACGACAAACCAGCTGTTAGAGGGTACTCACAGTCACTGCTAGTGCCCTCGAAAGCTAACCCCAAACTGTGGATTGGTATGTAAACCATTGCTTTACATTTAATTTATCCCATCTGTATTTATACTCAAATTAATTTATCACTATAGTCATTTAACGATAAAAACCCCATCTTTTGATTTATTTCCAATACGTTAACAGATAAAACAAATATTATTGGACGTTTGTATGCAGAAGGAATTAAAACGATGAATTGTTTTATACGTTTTATCTCGTGATTGGTTTTCCATATAAAATTGTTAAGTTGAATTACGTTTTGTGTACATAGGGGGTTCTCCGTCGCTGCCCCTGGGTTTGCCCGCTGCCCTGTACACGGGGCTCCGCGGCTGTGTCGCCAGTGTGAAGGCAAACGGACGGCATATTGATCTCAGCGCACCCATACGACCCACGACCGCGGTACGACATTGCGACTGACGATACGACTAAGTCGTGCGACCCACGCACGATGGTCAACGTAAAATGCCAAGTGGATTGTGAGATTTAAAAAAGTATTATTTTGTAACTGTTGTGTTGAATAGTGTTTTAAAGTACCTGTCTAATAATGTACCTACCGATACATATCCGTTTCAACATTGTGTTCGTATTATTTCAAGTTAACAGCTATTTGAAGAGTCCATGAAAATATCTCTAAAGAGATAAAGTGTCATATCACCTCGTTTCAAAAGTATTTATATGTTTTACCAAAAGAGTGCGTTGCCATAATACGTTATGTTCTAGTTGTAGATTGAATAGTTACTATATCAATTATTCTCTTTTTTAAATCGGTGCTCGGATTACACATCAGAGGTATAATGAAAAAATGAAATAATTAAATATGCGAAAGTACTGAATTATTAAAAAAGACTCTTGATATTTTGTTGTTAAAATTAGCAGAAATATATAATCTAGTTGATAGATTAGTCAGTAAAACTTAAGCATAGTTTCTATTATATATGAGAGCAAAATATCATGTGAGAAATTATAAAAAGTTTGTAAAACTTTATTCGTGTAGAGAATTATGATGATCGGGCTCTAATGGCGACATTCCAGCTCCCTGTCTCGATGACAAATAATGTAATGTATCAACAATAAGCAATCGTAAATTAATATTTTGACTAACGTTTTCTGACTCTTTTATTTGATAATGAGATTATCATTTCGATTCCACTTTGCCATTCCTTTATAAATGTGAAGTATATTTAACAATTATTTATAAATAACAGTGCCATAGTAATTGTACAGTAGCTGATTTAGGGATTTTATATACTCAGTGTTTTGAAGCATAATAATAAATAGGTTGTGTTCGTATTTTCCTTTCGTATTAAATAGTATTTATTTCTAGCATATTTGTGTTGACATTGCAGTGAACATTTTTTACTGATATCGCATTATTTCCAGGGTATGAGTATTACTTATAAATTACATATTTAGTTTAAGATTTTATAGAACAAACATTATGAATCTCATTCAGATCAAAATGAAATAATGCAGTCTTTAATTAATAGACATTTGAATTTTCCGTGCCATACTTTATAAGTGCATCTATTAATTTACTCTCAAGTTACATAATTATAATGGTGTATGTGATTCATTGTGTTAATTTTTAAGTTATGTAGTATCACTTCCAATATCACCTGAGATTATTTTAGTATTTTAATCTTAGTACTGACGTTTGTAATATATGTACATAAATATAGACTAGAATTTTTTTACAAGCCGCTTAACTGTTTTATGGAGATGTGTAATAAATGTTACGAAATGTCCGTTATCCTAGATTATGAATTCCAAGTAAGTCTGCGACTCTGTAAGTTCATCGGAACTACGCTCTAAGCAAATCCCTCGAGGGTTAATGTTCCCAGCAGTAGGTATGAATGTCACGACTTCACGAGCCTCACACAAACTTTGGACACACTTGACCCGCAATTGTGACTTAATCTCCATAGAGTAACATTGTACTTCTGTTCGAATATTCTAGAACATGCTGACGTATGTAATCGATCTTCCTAACTTTAAGAAACATTCATTACTCTTGCTGCAATCAATTAAATAAGGCCGGCTGTAGGCTAGTTATGTTATGAACTAATAAATAACGAATTTCAATTTTATTTCTAAGCCTGTACATTTTAAAGTAACTACATACGTAATGTTATGTATAGAAAATTGGTATCATAGTCTAGAATCGATTACCTAAGGTAACTTTTAGTTTTTCTTTTCATGTTGTGCTAACGCAAAACTACGCTCTTTGACTAAAAGCTAAGTTCGTTTTTCTACATTTCGTCTAGCGAACTACTTGTAAAGTATTATAATTAATACTAATTAAATTAAAACAATGACAATATTAAAATATATATATCAAAATGGCATTTAGAGCTACGTTTTTCGTGTTAGACATGCTTTGTGGTCGAACGAGACACAATTCACTTTTTAGATGATATTTAGAACAACCCTAGTGTTGTTGATTCGGATTAATTTGATATAGTAATGAACGAATATATTCCTCTATTGTACTTAGTATAACGTACTTAATTACAAGAATAAAATATATTAGAAGAGTATTCATATCCGAATGAACAACAGTTAGGGTTTTCAGCAATAACCTAAGTTTAGGTACAATATTGTCACTGGTTCGTACATATCTTCCAGTCCAGTTTGTTACGCAATGTGTGTTTGATGTAACTATCTTAGTTTAATAAATACAAAACCATAAAATAAAATGAGACTGCAATCCGTAATAATGTGTTTATTTCGAACCCTTCTCGACGTAAGTGGTCCTAGAAAAATATGAGCAAACATCCTCGAG